ATAGAATAGAATAGAATAGAATAGAATAAAATTGGAAGGGACCTTAGAGGTCTTCTAATGCAACCCCAGTGACTGTGCCATTTGAACGGCCCCCATCCGTTGGTGTGCTTTTTAGGACGAGGAGGATCCCTCGGTTACTGTGGTGCTCCTCTAGATCAGGGCTTTTCAACCGGTGGTACAGGTACCACCTGTGGTACATTGGCACCTGGCAGGTGGTACATGACCATCCTAGAAAAGTGGTAGTGGGGGAGGGAAATGAGCTGAACCGGTGGCAGCACCGCACAAGCCTGAGCGAGAGATGGCTGGAGCTGCAGGGCTGTAAGGGCTCAACGGAAGAGCCAGGATCAGTGCCGTTTTCCAAATGATCGGCGCTTCTTCGGGGCTGTCAGGGCTCAGTGGAAGCACCAGGATCAGCGCCAGGCTCCAGCTGGAGCTCGGTGCTGATCCTGGTGCTTCCGCTGAGCCCTCAAGAAGCACCAATCGCTGGAAAGCAGCACTGATCCTGGCGTTTCTGCTGAGCCCAGAAGAAGCACCAATCAGTTGGAAAGCAGCACTGATCCTGGCGCTTCTGCTCAGCCCAGAAGAAGCACCAATCAGCTGGAAAGCAGCACTGATCCTGGCGCTTCTGCTCAGCCCAGAAGAAGCGCCAATCAGCTGGAATGTTGCAGCATCTCCAGGGTCTTGTGATTTACATTCAGATGCTTGGCAACTGATTCCTATTTATGACGGTCACAGTGTCCCAGGGTCATGTGAAGTGACCAAAACCTGCTGCAACCACCCAGCAGACAGGGGGAATAAACACCCCCCACCTCACCCCCATTGCAAATCCTCAACAGAAATGCTCACAACAATGAAAACCTCGGACAGGAGGAAGAGCACCGCCGGGCGGGCAGGCAGGTGTCTTGCTCAGCTGTGGCTTGGGGGGCACTTTTTTCAGTGCCATTGTAACTTCAAACAGTCACTAAGTGAACTGTTGTAAGTCAAGGACTACCGTATTTTCCGGCGTATAAGACAACCCCCAACTTTTGAGAAGATTTTCATGGTTTAGCAAGTCGTCTTATACGCCGGAAAATACGGGTACTTTAACTTTCTAATAAAAGTAATGTAAGTCCTAAACACATTAGCATTTCATTATATTTCATCACTTGTTCCTGATCTGCTGAAGACAAATGTAGCTGGGTAACATCCCATAATAAGCATGGGGTGCACTTGTGAAGCTTTGCAGTATATGAGGAACTGCCTCACCCCAATGGGACTAGCTGGCCTCTCTTGTTCCAGTGGAAGCAGCCTAATTTGGATCCCACTAGCCAAAGAATTTCTGCTGCTGGGCTCCAGGAGAAGATTTCTGCTGTGCCCCCCCCCAGAATATTCTACCATCAGAGGTGAGATTCCCCCCCCCCCCAGACACACAAGAACACAATCCTGGCCTTCTGGCAGAGCCAGTAGTTCCAGTTGATGGTTAAACCAAAGGTGGGCTGAGGCCCCTGGTGCTGGATGCACTGCAGCAGGGATGGCCCGATGGGATTGTCAGAGGCTGAGACTGCCGTTTTGTAGAGGCCGCTGAACACCCCTGTGTTACTGACACTGTTGATCTCCATGGTGGAGTTGAAGTCATTCTTCCAGGTGCCGATCAGGGAGGACTAAAGGAGAGCACGAGGGGGGGAGGAAAGCGGGTCGCGGTGCTAGCCAAGCCCAGCTGTCCAACAGGTAGAGACTTTGGTTCCATTTTCTCCATGAGATCTGAAAACACCCTCTACTCCCACTTGCCCGACCCCCAAGGCTGCCCACGCTGGGTGGGGCTGGCAAAGGCGGCGCATCCTAAAGTCCTTCGGTGGAGGCGCCTGCCAGACCACTTCCGGGACGACACCCCATGGGCAGATCGCTCTGTCATCTGCGCAGCGAGAGCACCAGCCACGGCAGCAGGTTGCCAAAGAAGCGGCCGAGCATGGAGGAGGAAACGCTAAGCGTCCGTCCGTCGGGGTCCCAGGGCTTCTGGTGCTCAGCGCAACGGCACTGGGTGCGGTCAACCCTGAGGAAGCGGCACCCTCTGCGCAGGCCACCAGCTCCCACCAGCTGCTCCTGCCGCTCACCCGAGCAGAGGCTGGTGGCGGAGGGGGTTTCCCCGGGGGAGGAAAAGCCCCGCTCGCACTGCCTCCCTCCACCACCCTAGACGGGGCAGACACTTCTGCGAAATCGCTGGCCTTCTGTGAGCACTGAGCAGCACTTCGGCAGCAAGGGGGGTGGAGGGACTTCTTCTCAGGAAGCCCCCGCCACTGACTCAACACGGGCATTCTTACTCAGCTGGCTCTCCGCCAGCGCTCCTCTCCCGCCATTGGTCCGCCAACACTCCAACCTCGCCCCTTCCTCCCGGCTGTTTCTCGCATGGACACTTTTCTAGGGCTATTTGGCTGCGTGGGACACTTAAACTCTCATCCGGACAGCCAATCCCCGCGCCAAGGGGCGAGGAGCATGGGGCGCAGGATAAGGGGGAGCTTGCTTTGATGTACCATATTTTCCGGCGTATAAGACGACTGAGCGTATAAGACGACCCCCAACTTTTGAGAAGATTTTCATGGTTTAGAAAGTTGTCTTATACGCTGGAAAATACGGTATCTGTACTTTATCACTTTTTTCCTTTTTTTTTTTTTTTGGTCATCAAGTTTTGGACACCTTTCTAGGTGACTGGTGGTACTCGAAAGTTGCCCTATCCTAAAAGTGGTACAATGGGTGAAAAGGTTGAAAAGCCGTGCTCTAGATCTTGTCATCTGTTCTGAGAAGAGTCGGGAAAGGATGTTTCCTTTCTCCATCATTCCCCCCCCACCCCACCTGCAATCCTGCTGGTGAAGCCTTTGGGTGTAGCTTCCCCAAAACCTCTACCTGGCTGTGGTGGGGCCTGGGAGAGCCTTCTCCTTTCTCTTCCTCCTTCCTCCGAGTTGGATTCCTGCGGGTGTAGAGGACCTGCCTTTCCCCTAAACTGGATTCCCGCCTAGGTGGGTGGGCAGATTGTGATGGAAATCTAGCATTTGGCTGCAAAGGTGTCAACCAGGCAATCTCCATAAACACTAAAATGCTTTGCTCGGGCATGAAAGCTGGGTCTGTTGTGATGGGTGGTCACACTCGCTGGCAGGCTAGATCAGGCTGGCTGAGACGGGACTTGGGATGAGGTGGCAGGGCTGACCCCAGAGCCCTCCATGGGAGAAAAGGCTTTTGCTTTTTTAAAAACGAGCAGAAGCTCAGAACCAGGCTGGGAAGAGAAATGCGTTTTTTTCCATCTCTCCAGAAGCCTCAGAATTAATTGCCACAAATCTCCAGGGATCTGGAAGAAAAGCCCAGGATTAGTTGAGACAGAGGGAAATTTTTAAAGGACTTTTTTGTATTTATTCTCTTTGTACAAGTCCAGTAATTGTATATTTTATGCAACTTGGATCTCTTGCTGACAGAGTTGTTCTTAAGCACAGAGGCCAGCATCATCCTATAATCTGCCTTGTTTCCTCATAATTAAATACCGTTTTTCTGCCAGATCCTTTTAAGTGATCATCTAAGATTTGAACACATCTTCATTTTTGTTACCTTTACCACTAAATGTTTAGAATGTCATTTAAAGCTAAAAAAAAGATTCTAGCTCTTCTTTTTTTAAAAACAAAATGATTTTATTTACCTCTTACGAGAATGTCTATTTCTTGAAGGAAGGGTTGATTCTACAGTGCTATATGGCCAGGGATGGTTATAGAATTTATTTCATTTTTTCCCCTCTTTTTGCCAAAAAAGCGGCCCAGCTAGTGGGATCACCCCAGATTGGTGTCCCCTGGAACAGTGGCAACCACTGAATCTAAAACTGGAGGCAGGGCTAATGTGGATCGGCCCAGCTATTCCCTGGGAGAGCAAATTGGAGGCCCAGTCTTTTGATAGGGGGGGCTGGGATGGGCCAGATAGGGGAGGTAGTGATGAGCCAGCAGCTCTGCCCCCCCCCCCCAAAGTCTTGCAATTCTTTAGTTTGGGTTCTAAAACCTTTCCTGGACACTTCAAGGGCAGGAACCGCAGCAGCTTCCTTCCAGAGAGGAAAGAGGGGGGATTTTATACCCTACCTTAAAGCAGGAGCCCTTACATGTCGGAGCTTCTTTCCCCACTGCCCGCTTGCCCAAAGGAGGTGAAACCGGGCAGTTTATCCACAGCAAAAAGGAACAAAGGCACTTCTAAAAAAACCCAGAAAAAGGTACAATTTGGAACTCAACTGAAATTTCCTAGTGCGATCCTCCTGAAACCTGCTTCCCGCCTGCTGTTTCATTTGCAGATAAGAAGTTGGGCTGACAGGTCAGAGATGCATTTTATTTCTTTATTATCAAACAGCTTCCCTCTTTTTCCTAAACACGCATTTTGTGTGCGCAAAAAATTGCCAACTGAAGCTAAAACCTGCCTTAATGAGGGCTCCCCCAATGGCTGGCGGGGGGACAAAGGGGGGATGAAGTCTGTACAGGAGGCCTCAACGGGGTGGGGGCGAGGGTGGGGGTGGGGGCGGAGCCAAAGGAGCCATTGAAGCTTCTGCTCTTATCAGAGTTTCAGCTTTTCCTGCTTGCTTCGCTTCTGGGGAGAGAATCTCTCTGCAGGGCTGGGCACACTTAGGGTGGTTTTGACACGAGACGCAGTCAAGATCCTTTCATGCGATGCTTCACCAACAGGCCTCAATGTTGTACAACAAGGAAGCTTAGTCGAGGGAGTGTAAGTCCTACATAACGCAGATCCTAGGGAACCGGCCTCCCCAGTCGTTTTTCAGCGCACCCCAAGGCAGCCTCCATCTTGAGAGAGGCTCTCCTGAGTAACCCCGCGCAGAAAGGAGTATCGGGGCCGAAGCGGAGAATTTAGCGCCCACTCCCAGATTATCTCCTGATTCTGGCTCCCCGACCCTGGGGGGAGGGGGGAAATCTGGATGGCTTCAGGCTTGGGGCGGATCCTCCAGGCTGCCATCTCTCTGTGCTGATGCTGCTTGCTGTCTGCTGCTGCAGGTGACCTTCACCAAGCGGAAGTTTGGGCTGATGAAAAAGGCCTACGAGCTGAGCGTCCTCTGCGACTGCGAGATCGCCCTGATCATCTTCAACCACTCGAACAAGCTCTTCCAGTATGCCAGCACAGACATGGACAAGGTGCTGCTGAAGTACACCGAGTACAACGAGCCCCACGAGAGCCGGACCAACGCAGACATCATCGAGGTGCCGTGCCCCGTCCGTGCCCGGGAGGGGGGTCCCACCGATGGGCTAATCCTCTGTGCTGGCCTGCAGAGCCACCCGCCCAGCTGTGCGGGCGACTGGCTGGAGAGCCTTGCTTAGTTCAGTGGATGTGAGCCATGCCGGGGCTCCAGGGAGAATCCAGGCAGACTTTTAGCCTCGCTCCATGGCCATTGAGCTGTGCCCAGTATCCTAAGCCACAGAAAAGGAGCAAACCCAATCGGGCGTGCACAGATTCAGCTGCACTACCTTGCACTGGCCCCATTCAGCCTGTGACATGTCTGCCCCAAAGGAGACGACCTCCAGCAGCGGCTCCAATGGTGGGGTGATTCTTCCTGGGATAGGGAGGGAGCTGAGCCAAGGGGCTGGGACCAGGGTCAGCTTAGGGCCGCTACTGTGAACCCTGCATGCTCAGGAGAACTGGCCAGAGGTCAGTGAGAGAGTCCTGGGATGGAGCCGGTTGGCCTCTGGGCTTTCGGAGGACCGGCCCAGCCCTCCGACCCCCTCTGTGCACGATTGGCTTCCCAGAGAGGGACCAAGTGAGATGCCGCCGCTGCTGCTGCCGTTTCTTTGTCACCTTTCAATGAAAATTTGCCCGTGGGTGGCTCTCTCTGTGCTTGGCAGGATCTAGACAAATGAATGGTTTGGCTGGGTAATTATTGACATTACAAGTGAGCAGAAATTAAGGCACACAAAACCTTTAGTCATTCAATTTATCTGCTCAAGATGGGAGAGAATAGAAAGGGGGAAGAATCATTCTGCAGGGGGGGGGAGGTTTTGTGCCAGGTGCACACTTAGGCCCTCCCTTGCAGTCTCTCTTTCACATGTACGTGCACTCGTGCGCACACACACACACACAGAGTCACTGCAAGTGGAATAAAATATAAAGAGGTCTAGAATTTGAGAGTCATTTCCCATTTGAGGAACAAAACTTGAGCCGTTTAGAAACCTCTGCCCTTTGTGGATTGCCTTTCAAAATCCACTATGGAGCTAGGAGGGCCAGAGGGAGAGTCTGACTTGGCTTCTCTCTTTTCTGCACCAGGCTGCCCATCACCTTCCAGGCCTCCCCACCAAAACAGGTCTCCTGTGGGGCTGCTGAAGACTCTGCCAGCCGGGGCGTGTGAGGCTTTGGGGGAGGGAGGTCTTTGGGGGTCTTGGCCAGGGTCTAGGTGAGTGAGGTCACATGTGGGATGGGCCTGAGCTTCTTCCCTCGCACCCAGCTCCATTGGCAGTGCTCTGATTGGCCATCCAGGAGAATCCTCCGCTACATCCAGCCGCCTGTCCTGACCCACCAGCCCCAGGTAGCCTTCAGCCAGGGCATCGGCTGTGGCAAGCAAACAAGAATTGCCTCCCCTCGTTTCCCATAGAGCATCATGTTGGTCGAAGGCGCGTTTCCAGCTGGTCTGGTTGTCTGCCATTTGAGGAAATATGGAACGTGTCGAGGAGCTGCTAAGATAAGCTCCTCTAACTGAAAAGCCCCCATCTTGGCCCTCCCCTCCCCGGCCCCCAGCTTCTCTCCAGATCAAGGGCCACCCTGGGCTCGTTCGGCACTTGGCTCAGAGTTGCCAGGAAGGGCAATTGGGGCAGAGGAGAAGCCAAATGGGTTAATCCAGGTAAGGCGGACATCCTGGGGCCAGAAACCAACTGATCTGAGTGAAGGATTAGGATTGTCCTAGATAGGGCGGCCTTCCCTGCGGTCCTTGCCAGTGTGTGTGTGTGTGTGTGTGTGTGTGTGTGTGTGTGTGTGTGTGTGTCCCTGCCACTTTAGCTGCTGACATCGTCCTCCCCGCCTTCTCCACATAGAAGGGCCTCATCTCTTTCCGAATCCAAACGGAAATGCTATTCTATCCTTGGGAGCATTTTTCCTCCAAATTTCTTTAACAACCTTGAGTATTTTGAATCATTTGAACTTTGAATAGTTTGATCAACCTTGAATATTTTTTTGCTTAACATGACAGTTAAGTTGGGGACAATGTACAAAGGAGAGCTGGGTCATTTTGGCTGGCAGAACAATCCCCACATCAGTGGCTGCTGCCTGAAGTTTGTGCATTCTGTTGTGCTCATGAGCCCTTCTCCCTGTGCTGCCCTGGAGCCAGACTTTCCTCCTCCTGCCGATGTTTCTTTCCTTTTTCTTGCTCTGCGGCACAGCTTTCATTTTCTCCCTGTTAAATTCCATTCTGTGGGTTTCCACCCACACTTCTAGCCCCAGTCTGTCTCAACTCCCCCCTCCTTTTCCGAATCTTCCCCCCCCCCCCACGGCCTCGCCTCATCTGGCAGGGGTCTGCAGTCCCTCTCCCAAAGACCACCTGAGCCACTGCCCTGGGCCTCGGGCATGCAGGGCAGCCGTGGCTCTCGTCCGCCCTCAGCTTCTGGCACAAGGTGCCCTGCTTGTTTGCCAGGGGGACAGCGGGCTGCCAAAAGATCCTGTTGGCCCAGTTTTATTTGGGGGGGAATCCAATGCCACTAAGAAACAGAGGGAGGATGGAGGAGGAATCATGGGGAGAGCTTATCCATTGCATCTCTCCCCCCCCCCCATCTTCCTTGGCACAAACTTTCTGACTGAGATGGGTGGCCCAGTGTGGGGCTTGGGCTCAGAGGAAGTGGGCCTCAGCAAAACCCTGGCGCTTGGTGGCCATTTTGTGAGGCTGGTGAGACTTTGCTGCGTTTTCCCCTTTTGATTGCCTTCCCCCCCTTCCTGAGCTCTTGGGATAGCTCTTGCTCCCCCGTCCGAGTTCAAGCCTTGGGGTCTTCCCTGAACTTGGGGAGAGGATGCCTCTTTGCTGCTTACAACCCCCGCACCCCCAAGTGGAGTTTCCCTCTTGTGTCTTTGTTCACGCACACACACACACACACACACACACACACTTGCAAAGGACAGGATTGCAGGATCATCCTTGCAAGTTGGAGCCAAGATCAGCAGGGGCTGCGCAGTTGCACCCCATGTGGGCCACATCTGGACCACTTTGAGAGGAGCCACGTGCCGCACTGACTGCAGTGGCTGAACCCAGATGGAAGGCCAGGAAGCCTTCCTGGATGTGGCTGCTGCCTTCTCTGTTTTGTGCTGGTTTTTCAGCGCAGCTGCCAGGCTGGTTATGAACAGGAGTCTTATTTTTATTTTGTTTGTTTGTTTGTTCATTTATTTATTAAATTTATATGCCACGGAGAGGCCTTTTTGGTAGCTGTGGGAAGGGGCCCTCCTGACTCTCCCTGGTCCTTCTGGGCTCTGGAACCACTTCCTCCTCCTCTTCTGAGGGCCGAAGCTGGCCTATGGGGCAGCCCCACCCAGGAGAGGCCGCCCCCCTTCCTTGGCTGCTCCAGAGCTGGAAAGGGCATGGGGGGGGGGCTGAGCTGCCCTTCCAGGAGGGGGGAGGGGAGAGGACAGCTGCTCTAAGCCTTGCCCGGTGCCTGAATCACAGCTGGGATACGTGCCGGCCACCTCCTCTGGTCCCGATGGCTCAGGCTAAAGTTTGGTGCTATTGGATTCTGGGTCTTTCTCACCCAAAGTCAGCTTCCTTTTCGTCCTTTCTAAAATTATAATTCCATGAATTAATAATGGTCACCCACAGTGCATACATTGGAAAAAAAGTCCCGAGTGTTCACGACCACATTTGCCTGGGTCTTTTCCCTCTGCTGTTTGGGGCCTGGATTTAATCCAGAAAAGGCTTTTCTTTTTTGCTGAAATGGCCAGTGATGTTTGGAATCTTTCTGTCACACACACACACACACACACACGCACATATACAAACACAAACACACACACAGAGACCCCTTTCAATTTCTCATTAGCCCAACAAGAGATCAAGACTTCTCCACAACCTTGCCACAAGCTGACTTTTAAAAAGAGCTGGCAAGTGGGAGCTCCGTAATGGGGTCTAATTGCTTCTGGTATTTTGAAAACACAGTGATTAAGCGTGGCAGAGGAGGAAGGCAGCCTTCAAATCAGCTGCCATGCCTGGAATAAATACTTGGTAAACACGGCGTTTGATGTTCTTGTGACACATGGGAAGTGTGCAGCCGCTTCTCTCCTGCCTGGGAAGAGATTGGTCTCGAGCGAGGGACCAGAAGGCAGCGGCCGCTCAAGAACTGCCAGGCAGGATTCCTCCAGATCTATGGGATCTCTGTCCAGTTTGGGTTTTTTCCTGGAATTGAGTTCCGGAGTTCAGTTATAATTCAACCTGCCATTCTCTCCAGGAAGCAGAACTACCTCCTGCTGGCCCTGGGCACTCCAGTGCCCGCAGATCAGCCCTGGCCTGAGGTCCACACTGGCCCAGCAGGTGCACGAGTGGAATCGGGAACGGCAGGGAAGGCCCAGGGGAGGGGACTGTTGTGTGGCTGAGGGGTGGGAGTGAGGAAAGGAAAGGTTCGTTGGCTTGAGCCAGTGGCACCTGGACTCCCATCCCCTGCCGGGTGGCAACCACTCTGCCCTCTGCCAAGGCTGGGCAAGGCCCCCCTGAACGTCTCCCGGTTGTGCTTTCAGACCTTAAGAAAGAAAGGTTTTAATGGTTGTGAGAGTCCCGAACCCGACGGGGAAGACTCCATTGACCAGAGCCCGCTGACGGAGGACAAGTACCGCAAAGCCAGTGAGGACCTGGACAACTTCTTCAAGCGCTACGGCGTAAGTAGCCAGCCCCAGCCGGCCAGAAGCCCCTCACCATCTCTCTCTCTCTCTCTCTGTCTCTCTTGTTCTTGTTTGTTTGTTGGATTCGACACCCCCTGCCCACCCCCGACCTCCCTTCCCCATTGGCTGACAGGTGCTGAACAAGAAGCATAGAGAGGGGGAGAGTCCCGACGGGGAGGACATCTTCACCCTGACACCCCAGACTGAAGAGAAGTATAAAAAGATTGATGAGGAGTTTGATAAAATGATGCAGACTTACAGGCTCACAGTGAGTAACGGGGGGCAGCCCACTCGCTCCCCTCCGCATGGCAAGGGCGGCTGCCGGATGTGTGCCCTGCACATTGTGCCAGCCCTGCACGTCCTTGAGTCATTAACACACGTGTGGACACTTCCCCGACACCCGCTCGCCTGGCCGAGACTTTCCCATATGCCTAGGGGGAAGCAAAGGGGGCCTGGTCCCCTGAGGAAATGAAAGCAGTCCTGCCCTCCATGCTTTCTGACCCAGGTTCCCCCCAGGAGAGAAATAGGAAAGACTCTGTGGCCGGTAGCCTGCCCCCCACTGGGCATCAGGCCAGACTGGCTTTATTTATTTAGTATTTATTTATTAAATAAATATATATAACCACCCAAGTCTCACATATGTGACTCGGCACATTTTTTACAAAATGTAAAAAAATCCATCCGGTAATACCCACCCACTCCACCCCAGGGCTTGCCAGCGTTTCCATCTCCTTTCAACTCTTCTTCGGTTTGAGGGTCTTGGTGCAAAACAGCAGCCGGAGACCAGCTGTAAAACAGGCCGTCTTTGCTTCTGGTGGGCAGGAGACCCAAAGGTGGTTGGCGCCTGTTTTCCTTCCCCCCTTTGAGGGCGGTGTGGCCTGAAACGGGCTTGAGAGGAAGTGCCTGGAGTCCCCCTGGACAGGGACAGCTGTGGGGTGCCTCATCTGGGTTCCCCGCCTGAGCAAGCGAGGGGCTAGCAGGAGAATATGGGCCCTGAACTGGTTCCAGAGGCTGAAGGTGCCCCCCCCCCTCCAGAGTCACAGATTTGTCCCAGAAGTGCTGAAGGGGGTGAAGATGGAGGCAGTTTGGGAGGAGGGGGGGTGCACGAGGTTCCTGAGAGAATTAACCCCAACCCTCTGCCTAACTAACTAGTAACCCAAGCTGTGCCTGGCCAGGGCTTTGATGGCGTCCCCAGAGCCGGACCCACAGGTTGTGGGCTTCCTTTGCAACTCCCGGCAGTTCAGCCTCCCTTTTCTTCTCTTCCTGCCCCACAGGGTCCAATCTGTTCATGAGACCAAGAGGAGGCTGGGGGGTGGCCGAAGGCAGAAGAAACGGGGCGGGAGAAGCAGAGGTGGCAGCAGACGCCCCCAGACCCTTCCCTAAAGGAAGTGGCATGTTCATGGTCCCAAGGCAATGGGGTGTGAAAGACAATGGGGCCAGGGCTTTCGGCTGAGTCTGGCATGGGGAGAAAGCAATTCTGCTCTGATTAGACTCCAGAGAGGTCATTTCCCACAGATTTCACCCTTACAAAGCCGGTGCCAGGGCCAGGCCCTTCTGGCTGCTCTGTTTGGGGCCCTGCTGATAGAGCAGCCCCAGTCAAGATCTGCCCTTACCTGTGGAAAAGGGGCACACCCAGCAGAGAAGGCTGCAGCCTCTGGAAGGGCAGTGGCTGCGGTGGAGGCTGCTTGGCGCATCCTCAAGGACTGCAGCTTTGCACGCTCACATATGCACCACCCCACCCCCACCCCCGTTAAGGTTTCCCCCCCTTTGCCACAATACAGCAACCTCTGAAAAATTCAAATGCAGCCAAGGTCAAAAGCAATGCAGGAAAAGTGCTGCGGCCATCTAATAAATAGAGGAATTAAAACCACCAGAATCTTGTAGTGATTTAAACCATGTCTTTAAAGGTGCGAAGGAGTAAATATTCTCAGTTGGCATCGAAAAGACGATGCTGATGGCACCTGGTAGTTACCCTGGAGAGGAGACGCCTTCTCTGGAGTGGAGGGGCACCCCGGAAGCCCACGGAGCCCAGGGCCTTGGTGTCTTGGCCAAAGCTTCATGAGCGTCTTCTTAGCAAGCTGACATCCAAAGCTTTTCACACCAAGGACCCCTGCAGGGACCTCAGAGGGCAGCTAGTCCACCTTCCTGCTGGATTTAGATCTGCACTTAACAGCATTCCTGCAAAAAGTCCTCCCCACTCCTTAAATGGCCCCACCCCAAAGACAGCTCCCCCCAGATGTTTCCCAACACGGTTTCATTTCTTGCCATCCGACTCTTGTGTGACCGGCTCCCCTCTCCCATTAACATGCCCGACTCTCTCGTTCCTTTGGAGATGGGCAGCTTGTAAGCTCATATAAAAATGAACTAATCGTTTTTTAGCCCCCCCCCCTCCTCCCGCCCCAGCTGTCCTGCTTGCTCATCTCACAAGCTGCTCCCTTTGCCAGGACCCAAAATGCATCTCTGGAGTGGCTGCAGAACAAGGAGGGCTCCTGACCTCGCTGGGTGTGGAGATGAGTGGTTGTTACCTTTGTTCTTGCCCAGTTTGTGTCAGACTGAGGTTGCTAACTACTTCTTACCTGCTCCCTCCTTTATTTCCGTCTTTGACTTTCGGGATTATTTCTGCTTGCTGACGAGTTTCACGCCCTCCGTCCTGCTTGGTCTGTGGGATGAACATCCAGAGTTGCTCCGCCAGCTTTGGATCTGTGTTGGATGAACATCCCTCTGAGGACTGAACGGGGGGTTCTGCCAGAGGTTTTGTTCGCCTCCCAACATTCCGGGCTCACAGCATCGCCCTAATCTGTGGGCCTCGGAGGCTGGCCGGCCATTGGTCGCTCCCGGATTCCTTGGAATCAAAAGTCTCCAACAGCCTCTTGTCACTGAGTGGTGGGTCCCGCGAAGTGCAGGACAGCCAGTGACAGAGGAGGCTTCTCCCTCGGCTCCCCCTCAGCCGGCTTTCCTGCCCCTTTTCTCTCCAGTCCTCCGTTCCTGCTCCCAACTTTGCCATGCCTGTGACGGTGCCAATGGCCAACCAGAACGCCCTGCCATTCAGCAACCCCGGGGGCTCCCTGGTGACCCCATCGCTAGTGACTTCCTCCTTGACCGACCCCCGATTGTTGTCCCCGCAACAGCCAGCCCTCCAGCGCAACACCGTCTCCCCGGCGCTCCCACAGAGGCCGGCCAGCGCAGGTACGGCCTTCTCCCTTCTTCTCCTTGGTGGATTTTCAGGCAGTGTAAAAGGAATTGGGCAAACCCAAAAGAAAAGAGAGAAAGCAAAAAGCAACCGAAGGAGCTTATGACATCCAGGCAACGGTTTGCCAAGCGCCAGTGGCTGAGCTCTGGCCTGGGCCATCTCCACAGTCCCCCGTTCAGCACTGGGGAAACAACAGGAGACCAACAGGGACAAGGGCCTTCAGCCACGAGTTAATTTTGGCGATGTGTACGTTGTGGGTAGACAAGTACAGGTAATCCTGGACTTATGACTGTATTGGAGCTTGCCCAGTTTGATTGTAAGTTGTGAAGATCATAAAGCAGGTCATCCCATGACCAATGCAATTTTATGATCTTTTTTGTAGTGGTCATTAAGCACATCACGGTTGTTAAGTGAATCCACTAAGCAACTGCTGTTAAGTGAACTCATTGTTTACTATGAGCTTTTGGCCAAAAACTGGAAGTAAATACTGGTTTTGGGCAAAAAAAAATCATAAATTGTAGTCCTATGGCCATGGGACATGGCAATGGCCATAAATGGGGGCCATTTTTTTCATGTATTGTGGTTGATCTGAAATGTGATTCAGGTGTGTCCAAACATGATTTTCACATGTAGATACGCTTGGGATGCCCAGCTCTGGACACCATTTTGGGAACGTGAACAGGCCTAGCCTGAGGACTTAAGGGAGGTGGCAGCCATTCTGCCATGATTTCCCCCCTCCCTTGGAAAGGGGGCCTTAGAGAAGCAGGGAATCTCTGGTGGGACTGTCCTGTCCGAATGTGGCTCCAGATGCAACTGACCCTTGGCCTTCTTCCTAGGGGCGATGCTCGGAGGGGAGCTCGGCAACACGAATGGAGCCTGTCCCAGCCCTGTGGGTGAGTAGCCGCAGCAGGGGCAGCCTGGGGAGTCTCAGGAGGCTGCCCCTCCAGAAGGGAAGAGACTCTGGCGGAGCTCAGGGTCACCCCAGGAAGGCCCCAGCACTTTGCATAGGCTCTGAGCCCCCCCCCCCGTGGCCTTTGTCCCTACCCCCCACTTGCAGTTTTGGCTCTTTCTGCCAAGACAGCCTTTTTGGGGTGTCCAAGAAGGAAGGGGGAGCTTGAGACACACCAAAGGAGCAAGTCAATGGGGGGAATTTTACACGAGGGAGAACCAGACAATCCCCTCGCCTTGTGCAGATTGGATTCCCTCTGCCACTAGCCTGAATGTTGACCAACAATTCTTTATATTGTGTCTGAATGTGTGTTGAGAATTTTATACATACATAAATACATACATATTTAGAGGGGAGGCTGTCTTAGGTAGCCATAACCCCCCCCCAAAAAAAAACAACCGAGAGAAGAGGCCACCTTTGAAGGTGCCTTTCCTTGTGTTTGGGGGCCTCTCCCTCTTCTAGAGAAACACTGAATCCTAACAAAGGGGGCTGTTCTGTGCCTCCCTCAGGGTGCTTCCCCTTTTGCCAGCCAGCAGGTAAAAGTGGCTGAGGCCAAACCCGGCACAGGAGAGAGAAGGCGCCTTTGGCAGGGGAAGCTGAAGGGGGGGGGGGGAAAGCCTCCCTTGCAGGCTCCTTCAGAGAAGTTGCCCGAGAGGGAGAGGGAGGGGCCTTGGGTGGAGCCCAAAACTGGCGGGGTCCAGGCCAGCCAGTTTTTCTGCCCAGGCTTCAATTAGAGGCTGCATTTTCCTTATTTGTCCCTGTCAGTTTCAAAACCAGCCGTTGCCTACAATCCTCCTTCAGAGGACACCCGTTCTGGGTTGCTTCAGAAATACGGCCAGATCCCTATTTTGATGATTCTGCCCTTAATTACAGCGTGTCAGCAGGCAGAGAGGCAGCATCTTGGCCAGCTCAAGCGGTCTTTCACCGGCTCTGCTGTGCCCAAGTGGCTATGCACACCCAGCCAGCCTCTCTGGGGACTCGCCCCTCTCCTGTCTGTGCCAGGTGGAGGGGAGAGAGAAGCTATTCAGCCTGGTGAGCCCCTGGCCAGTTAGAGCCAACAGGCAGGCCGTTGGCCTTGTCCGGCTTCATGAGCAACTTCCTTCGCTCTTTCCCATCTTTCTGACCAGGAAGGGCTGCCCTGGATCCCACCCCAAAAATCTCTTTTAGCTGAGCCCACTGGAGACTGGTGACTGGAGGAACACAGAAAAATTCTGTAACCAGCTTCAGCACCTTCCTTGATGGCAGCCCATCAGTGGTTTTGATGTTTTTTAGCATGCTTCACATGCTAAAAAGTTAACTTTTAGAATGAAACACAGCAAAGGCCCAAGCAGTCGAAGCTGCCCTGGGGGGTTGGCAAAAGGGGGCTTGGAGGCGGCTGAGAGCGGTGGCAGCCACTGGAAGCTCCAGGAGAGGCAGCCGGGCACTGAGGTCCACCGGGCATCTTCCTTCCAGCAGGGTTGCTGGCCACAAGACTCTGCCGAGGAGAGGGGCGGTCTCAGAGGAGGAACCGGGCTGCAGGGTCCCAGGAAGGGAGAGGCCCTGCCGATTGTGGGGAAAGTGATCAGTCTTAGCCCAGGCCCCCTCCGCCCCTCCCGGCTCCTCTCTGTTTTCCAGAGCAGCCCCCACGTCAGCTGTTGTGAGCGGCTGTTCCAGCTTGCAACTTGGCAAGATCCCTGAATGTCAGCATTGACGTCACGAAAACATTCCCCTCGTTCCAGGAAATGGGAGCAGGGAGAGCCCTGGGCAGGCTTGCGCGAGACCCGGAGGGCCACCCGGGACCACTTTCTCTGGGCTCTCCTCTCCGGTTGCAAAGGGCCTCAGGGCGCTGGCAGAGGCCCCGTCTTGGCCAGCCTCAGTCTCCCTCCCACTTTACATGGGAGGTTAAATCTGTGCCCCCCTCCCCCCCCAAGTTTTGCTGCTTACACTAAAGCAGCATTTCTCCACTCTGGCCATTTTATGATGGGTGAGCTAAAACTCCCAGAATTCCCCAGCCAGCCTGGAGTTGAAGTCTGCCCATTTTAAAGTTGCCAAGGTTGAGAAACCCGCCTTTAAAGCTTGTGCCAGGGACTCTGGGCTGACCAAAACCGCCTCTGCTGAGCCCGCAACTCCCCCAATTCCTCGGCCGCCTGAAAGCCAACTGGGTGACGGTGCTGTTGGGCAAGTGGAGGCTTCTGGTCTGCGGCTCAGATGAACCCACCCAGCTGCTGAGGCTATAAGCAGCCAGGCAGCGGCTGGGGGGAGGCAGAGGCCTGCAGAGCCAGCACGGGCACCAAGCCCGCTGAAGGGCTTTCCTGGGTGCCTAAGGAATGCCAGGCAAAGGGATACAGAATGAGCCCACAGATGCCTTTGGGAAGATGGCAGGTGCCCTTTGCCCCTTGGCAACTGCCGTGCTCGGATGGCCCCGTGATGTTGGGGGCTATGAACTGTGGTGGTGCAGTTCAGCAGTTTGAATCTCATCGGGCTCAAGTCTGACTCGGTCTTCCATCCTTTCGAGATTGGTAAAATGAGGATCCAGCAATAGGCTGACTCTGTAAACCACTTAGAGAGGGCTGTAAAGCACTATGAAGCGGTATATAAGTCTAAGGGCTAGTGCTAAGTGCTAATGCCGACCTCTCCATTTACTGGCATGTTGGCACCCACCAAAGGGAGAGCGCCCTGGCCTGCTTGGTATCCCTGGTTGGTTCTGGGATGGGCTCAGACGGTTCAGAGTGACTTCCTAGCTTAGGGCTGGTGGTCCCTGCCCTGTCCATCCAAATTGCCTCCAGAGAGCTCGTGTTTCAGCAAAAGCCATCTCTGCTCTCTGCTCCAGGGTGGACCTTCAGAAACCCTGTGCAAGTAAGAAAACCTGGGGTTATTTCAGGAACATATAATTTGCATTGGTTGCAGTGGAGAAGGGAGACATTCAGATGGCTTTGTCCTCCCCTGCAGGCAACGGCTACGTCAGCGCCAGGGCCTCCCCGAATCTCCTCCCCGTCTCCAACGGAAACAGTTTAGGCAAGGCCGTCCCAGCAAAGTCACCCCCGCCGCCTCCCACACACAGCAACCCGCTGGCCGCGAACATCCGTAAGCCGGACCTCCGTGTCATCACCTCTCAGGGCGGGAAAGGCCTCATGCAGCACCTGGTGAGTCCAACTGCGAGGATCTGAACCCTGAAATTTCTCCTGGTCTTCAGTTCATCTTTGTGAATGCACAAAACATCTGCCTTCTAGTCAGAGGATGCTTCTTTGTGACCCAGGATGGCCAAGTGATTGTTTGCGAGGCTCTTAGACCCCCTGAAAACAGGAAGTGGGGCGGGGCTTGCCGACATTGATGTCCCAGTCCAGTCTGACCCCCTTCTTTATCAGCTGCCCTAAAATGGGCTGCTTGGATCTGTCTAAAGAAGATGCCCCCCTCATACTTTTATGGGAACAACCTCTTGGCAGGCAAAATTCTGTTTTCTACTGATTTGTTTTAAAATACAGAAGTCAAGCTTTGGCTTTCCCAAAGCTCCACTTTGGTCTAGCAAAATTATTTTAATCTGTTTGTCTATCTAATTAATGGCATTGATCTACAAGATTGCATCAGTTTGCAATGCTGGCTAGGGAATTCTGGGAGGTGAAGTCCATAAGTCTTAAAGTTGCCAAGGTTGGACACTTCTGTCCTAAACGCTTTGTCAAAGGGGTTGAGATAATATCCACGAGAGGGTTTGCCTAGGTGCAGCCAGACAATTCCAAAATTAAGGTAACTCTTTCCTGCATTGGTGTTTTCCATCTGGAAATTCCCCAGGCTTAAAAAAAAAAATTAGATGAATTAGCACAGAAGAGACTTCTTGTGATCCACAAATGAAATAAAATTCTCAATGAAAGTGGGAAGCAATATCAGAATTAGGAATTAAATGTAATAAGTTTCCTTTGCTTTCATTTTTATTCTGCATCCAGACGGAGGATCAGTTGGATCTGGTAAGTTATGCATGGGTGTGCCTCTGTGTGTGTGTGTGTGTGTGTGTGTGTGTGTGTGTGTGTGTGTGTGTGTGTGTGTGTGTGTTTGTCTGTATGCATACACAAAGATCTTTGGGCAACCGCTGTCCTAAGGGGCCTCCTAGAGAAAACACGGGCTTCTAGCCTGGCTTCTGGCCTGAGGGGTCCGGGTGGTTTTCCTCCTGGGGGTGCATGCTTGCCAACTGCATAAATTGCCTGTCTCCACCCCACCCCCCCACCCCCAGCATTGGCAGCTCTCAGCCTGACAGGCTCCTCTTTGGGCCAGATCGCCCTCTCTCTTGCCCTTCCTTGGTGAGAATTGGCCCCAAATCCTCCCCCCACCACGCAGCACCCCATTGTTGCATGCTCCATCGGGTTCCTTTGGGTGCTGCCATCGAGTGAGAGGCGGGGGCTGCCTTTCTTCACTGCCCCCGTGGGGGGTGCCATGGCTCCCCCCGCACTGATCACCAGTATTCTCACTAACGCAGCCCAGTTAGCCCACTGGATCTGGCCCAGGGTGGATGTGCCCCTCTGAGCCTCTGTTACATCCTGTGCCCACATCCCTAGAAGAGAGCTTGGCACATTGCTGGGGTGCCGATGGAGGCACCCCAGGCTAAGAGCCGGAGCGCTGCTTCCTGGGGACCGAAGGGCCCCCCAAATTGTTTTGGAAGAGGTTCAGCACCCCCCTCTGAAGCAAGATTCTCATTACAGAGGAAGCAGAGCAGAAATGGAGCCAAAGGTGCCCATGAGGGAGGCGAGTGGGGAGCCATTGTCCTTGCCACACCCAGGTTGGGCACTGCTGAGGGGGCTTTTCCTTTACCGGGAGGGACTCCCCTCTCGAGCACTGGGGGGCTCTGGTGTCCCTTGAGAGGGGAGGAGGAGGGCTCAAGGCCAGGCATGGGGAGGGGACGTCTCCCTCTTCCCCCTGTGCTGTTGGTCCTGGAATAAGGTTGGCTACTGCTCACAGTGGGAGAGGTTGGGGTCTAGTCCACACTCGACCATGGGCTCCCCCCCACACATACCTACTGGATTGCTGTAGAAATTTCCAAAGGGAGGGGAGAAGGTCTACACTTGTGGGCATTACTGGTGGGAGGAGAAATTGGGGTGAAATGCAATAACATTTTGTTGCTGCATAAATGATACGCATTGTGTGTCCACTGGGGTAAATGAGAGGATTGTAGGGAATCGGGTCTTTCTCCAGTGTAAACCCTGAAGCAAGGACGCCTCCTCAGTTGCCTCGGAGCTGTCCCTGCCTACCCAGGCCCCTGCCCCACCTCTCAGCCGGGGGGCCTTTGGCATGGAGGATCAGGAGACAGAAGATGCTCTGAGGGTCAAGGAGAGGTCCAGAGAGGGGGCAACCTGGGGTGGGCTTCTGGACACGAGGAGGAGGAGGAAGAGGAAGAGGAGGAAGAAGGCAGCTCTGTCTGGGTGTTGAAAGCCAGCTCCTCTCCCACTGCTTAGGGATGGGGGGATACTCTCCACCTTCACCTTCTTGGCTGGTTTGGCCAACATGCTTTTCTTAGTTAAACTGGGCTAAGATGTTTGGTTCGACGTGTCTGGATCCTGCCATTCTCCTAGCGTGAGGTGAGCCCAGCCAGAAGGTGGGTGATGGTTCAGGCATTACAGGCGAAACAAGCCCTGGAGTGGCCTTTTATTAGTCCAGCTTTAGGTTTCGTATCTGGTGAAAACCAGACATTCCTTTGCATTGCCCGAGAGCTCAGGAGGGCAGGGCATCCCCCCCTTTTCCGGCTCCAGAGGAGCCCTGGGAGGAGCCAGGGAGCTTTGAGGTTGGCAGAGGTGGCGCCTTGTGGGGTTGAACGGGCAAGGCAACTTGGGGGGGGGGTCAAGCTGTGAGAGGTGCGGTTTGCCACATGCCTGAGCCATGTGTGGCCATGGTGAACCACGGAGCCTCCATTGGCAGGAAAGGGTTGAGCAGTTCAAGACAACCCCCGAGCGCTCCGGGGTCTTTGCGCCGCAGAGGACAGTCGGCTGTCTTCACAGCTCCCATTTTGCTCTCGTCAGCCCAGTGCTGACAAGGGCGAAGCGCCTGGAGAGCCCAGATATACTGCCCTGGCCTTGGACTGCACCTGGCCCTGCTCACTCAGCCATGGCCCACAGAGTGCCTGGGGGCAGGGGAGAAGCATTAAGGGGCAGAAAGACCTCCATCCTCAGGATGGCACCTTGGGAGGAATGGCATCCAGTAGCCACGAGGACCACCGGCTTCCCTTGCTTTCCTTGGCATGAGGCTCCGATGCAAGGGACGTGCGCCTTCCCCATGGGGCAAACATCCGAGAGCCCTTTCTCTGAAAACCCACCCCTCCTCCTCCTCCTCCTCCTCCTCTTTCAGCTTCCCTGTCTCTTTCTTTCTCTCCCTTAGCAGAACGCCCAAAGACTGGTGGTGTCTCAAGCCACGCATTCTTTGACCACGCCGGTCGTTTCGGTGGCCACGCCCAGTCTGCTGACCCAGGGGCTGCCCTTCTCAGCGATGCCCACGGCGTACAACACAGGTGAGACCCTGCCCGGAAGAGGGAGGAAGCCGGTGTTCTCTCGTTTGGCTTCAGTGGCCCCTAGGAATTGAGACGCCCGAGCAGAGGGGGGAGCAGGGCCCCCCTCTGAAAAGCAGGCACGACGCTGTGTGAGTGGAAAGTTGCAGTTGGAGGACCTCAGCCAGGATCAAGGGACCTCTGTGGAAATCCTGTCCTCCGGGTCACAGTTGGCCCAGAGGAGCTTTGCAAAAGGCAGCCGGACTTTCTTTTCCCTTGAAGACATTTCACTTCTCATCCGTTCTGAAGAAGCTTCTTGGGTGAGAAGCGAACCGGCTCCAAGGAAAAAACAAAGGGAGTCCCGTGATTAAGGGAGCCTCTCATGCGAGGGCCGGCCTTGCAGCTTCTGCCCATCCAAAGATTGTGTTTAGAAGCAAGCAGGGGGAGACCTTTTTCAGGAGGGAGGGGGAAACGGGTGCCTTAAGCATCTGCAAGGCCACTTTGCCTTTTAACAATCTTAATGTTTTGGCTCCCTCCATTCTGGGAGGGATTTGAGGGGCTGGACCTTTCCATAGAAGCCACAGCAAGCCCAGTCGCAGCGGGGATGGTAGCTCCGCTGTGGAGCCTGGCAAGGGCCTGGGTGCCATTGCAGAAAAGGAAAGCGCTGCCTGCAAGGCCCAGCTGGCTCAGGGTGAGGCTGCCTTTCAGAGGACGGGGGAAAGGGAAGGGGGCCTGTCCGAGCGGTGTGGGTGAAGGAAGGCCTGGGACCAGCCCAAGAGACCTGGGCCTTCGCTGGCCGCCGGGAGGGAGAGGCGCCTTTCCCAGGTGTGAGTCACTCCTCTTCCGAGTGTGAACATCTTGCTCCCTCCGGCCTGCCTGCTTGGGGAGGCAGTCACCTGTTAATATTGTTGAGCGTTGTGTCATTTGGCAGGGTTTCACATAGCAGTGCAGTCTGCTCACCCTTCCAGCCCCCCCTCCCCCAGGCGTTGGGACGGATCCTCTGCCAAAGAGACCAGTGACTCAGCCCCCCCCTGGCTGGGGGAGGAGGGTCTTCTCCTCTGCAGACCTGAAAAGCCCCCAAGCTACATCTCTGCCTCAGTTGTGACTTTTTGGAGGACTAGACGGGTGTGTGTGTGTGTGTGTGTGTGTGTGTGTGTGTGTGTCAGAAACTGCAGACTCCCCCAAAGAGAAGGGATGAGGTGGAAGGACCCAACCAGAGGCCCCCAGGCATTCTGATGGCCTTGGATTAGCATTCAGCCCAGAGAAACCTTTACGACCTGCCTCCAGGGAGACTTCTTCTCTGGAGAAGGGGGGGGGGTTTCCTCGGGTCCTTCCTCTCCCCCGTGAGGAGCCCCACCACAGAGAGTCTCGCCAGGCTGGGCTGCTGCTGCCACCCAGGAGTTTCAAGGTGGGAAGAGAAACTTTGGGTGTCGGAATTCATGCAAGGCGATGACAGGTCTGTGGCGTGGAGAGACTTCCCGCCCCGTAGCAGGCTGGGTGTGTAATAGATTGTGAAAAATTAGTTATGCTGAAAAACAGGCCCAAACTTCCTCCTTTCCCCATCAGAGCCTCTCTTCCTCAATCGGCGGGGGCTCGGGGGAATATATTCTTCCTGCAGAAGAGAGAAACACCGACTCAACCTCTTTGCTTCCCGTAGCTCTCCGGGCTGCCTGTCTTTCCTCTCGCTTTGAGGAAAGGGGGCCAAACAAACTGGCCGGTTTCTCTCGGTCGGTTCGGCTCCCGTCTGGAGTTCTGCTTTATCTCACTTTGCAGCAAAAAGGCTCCTCTTTTCTGCTACGGGCAGGAGCTACAGCTGCATCTGCAACACGTAGTAGAATCCTAGATATGGAAGGGACCTTGGAGGTCATCTAGTCCAACCCCCGGCCCGGTGCAGGTATCTTCACGCCCTCCTGGACAAACGGTCTTTTCTTGAAAACCTCCAGAATGGAGCCCCCCCCCACACAGCTTCGGGAGGAAAGCTAACCCACTGTTTCTCGGGCAGGAGAAAAATAAACTCAAGTTGGGCCCCCTCTCAGTGAAGCTTCCGGCCTTTTCTATTTCCTGATTTCAAAAGCTATGACTGGCCCAAACCTGGTTTATCCTTAATAAGCAGCCGGCTTGTCCCTTTATGTCCACAGATGGTCTGTCAGGAGTCTTGCCAGCCTCTATGGTGCTCTAAAGACAGCAGTGTGCTTGGTTACAGTTTATGGGTTCTTAGAATGTTATTTATTTATTATCCTTTATTTATCCATTTATTCATTCATTCATTCAAATTCTACTGCTGCCCATCTCAGCCAAGTGACTCTTACATGTCTAAAACTATAAAACAGTTAAAACAATTAAAAGCAATAAAATAAATAAATAAGATCTTGGGCAGGACACAAGGGCCCAGGGACTAAAGACGCTGAGCTTGTCAGCTGGAAAGCCCGGGTTCAAGACCCAAGCTCTGTGCAATGGGGCCGGCTCCCCTTCCGTGCCCCCTAAGATAAATAGATGAAGAGGTTCCACTTTGGTGGGAAGGGAACCGCGTTAGCCACAGGACCACGGAGAATGCCAGGAAGCAGAGACCAGCACCTCCCCCAAGAGTCGGACACGTCGCCTGGACAGGGAAACCTCCACTGGATCCCCTGGGACGACCAGTTTGCAGCTGATACTCGGAAAACGTCTCAGGGGGAGCACAGCTGCTGGACGGGGAGGAATTGGGGGCTGCGAGCAGTTCAGGGCCTTCTAGCAGAATCGGCCAAATGCCAGTTCTGCTTCTCCAAAGGCCGCCTTGTGTCTCCGGCTGCTTTGATAACGTGGAGTGGAGGATCCAAGAGCTCGGCTGGCTGGTTCTCCGGGTGGTAGTGAGGATGGCACCCCCCACCCCCACTCCCCCAAGGCTGCAAGGGAGGCCAAGGGCGCCATCTAGCGACCTGTCATTTGAAAAACTATCGAGGCCAGTCTTTCTCAACCTTAGCAACTTTCAGCGTAAGACTTCAACTCCCAGAATTCCCCAGCCAGCCGAGTTGGGGATGCAGCGAAGACAAGCTGTTGGGTGTCTGCTGATGAAGGAGCTGCATCCGTGGCTGGATACATTTCTTGGATCCGGACTCTTTCTCTTATTTCTTCCTTTATTTAATTGATTCAATTTGTGTGCCACCAGATTCCCAATGAACCCGGGCAGCTCACAATACTTAAAACAAGGGAAATTCAGTAATACCTATTTTAAAAAATTAAACAGATTGGATAGGAATGAAGCAAAGGGCTTTCACCCTCCCTTTTTGTCCCTTTTGCCTGGGACAAAAACCAAGTCTTCAAGCCCCTTTGAAACAACAGCAGGGAGGGGGCTGCCCGCAACTTGGGGGAAAGCCTCATTGGAGAGGGCAGGGCCTATGGAGGGAAACAGACTTCCAGGGTCCCCACGGATGGCACCGTTTAATCGGAAGAACTTGGAGCATGCCAACCTGGCCAAAATTGAAGCAATGGGCAGATACTATGGGAGGCAGGGGTCCTTCAAATAAGCTGGCCCTGTGCCAGGAAGGGTTCAGGGGTAACTGGCACCTTGAGTTGCACCCAGAAGTGCAATCCATCCTGGGCCAGTTGGAATTTCTGGGCAGCCTTCAAGAGCAGCACCTTATAGGAGCATCTTGCAGTAGTCAAGCTGTGCAGAAAGGGCGTGAGCCAGCGGACTGGGAATGCTTGGCCTGACCTTTCTGCTTCCTTCCAGACTACCAGCTGAGCAGTGTGGAGCTCTCCTCCCTCCCGGCCTTCAGCTCGCCCTCCAGCCTGTCTCTGGGCAGTCTCTCTGCTTGGCAGCCGCAACCACAACAGCTGCAGCCGCCACCGCAGATCCCGGCCTCCCTCAGCAACTTAATGTAAGTGGCTCATCTGGGCCAGGCAGGCAGGGCGGCTCCCTGGATAATTTGGTCTCGGCCGAGGTGGGGCAGGGGGTTATTTTAAGGTAATGCCTTGAATGGGATTTTGGAATATTTTAGACATGCCTTCCTTTGCTATTTTAGCTGTGGAGCTGGGTGGAGAAGGGAGGGAGGGAGGGAGGGGAGAAATTAGGTAGGAGGGGGAAAAAGCAGGAAGGAGGGAGGAAGGGAAAGATGAAGGAAGAGAAAAGAAGAATATTGCTAGATATTCTCAGTGAATTGCAAAAGCCCATGAAAATAGGTGTTTCTTGAGGCACCCGAGACAAGGCGGGCTTCCCAAGGCTTGTCCTGTCTCTGAAATTGGCTAAAGCCATTCCCTCCTGAAACCAGGACGGAGATTTTCCAGGTTGCTCCTCTCTGGGGTGGGGAAGGGCGGTGCGCGGCCATGTGGTGTGATGGTCTGCAACAGAGCCTGCTTCTTGAACCCCCACCTCCACTTCCAGCGGAAACTCGTTTCCCCGCAAGGGCGCCTTGTTTGGCAGGTGAATTACTGGGTTGCAGGTCGTCCTCAACTTACGGCCGGTCACTTAGCAACTGTTCAAAATTATAGTAGACCCCCAGTTCTGAACTTCCAATGGCCACCCCTCCCCCCTCCCCATCAGTGCATTTTGAGCACTCGGCAACTGGCCTCTGTTTGTGGCTGGTTGCCCTTTCCCACAGTCACATGACCACCGTCTGACATTTTTGCCAAAAGCTCGGTTTCCAGTGGATGGGAAGGAAGCCATCTTGGAGTCCGGCTCTGCCTTCCTCGCCCCCTCACCCCGTTCTCCTTTCTCTGCCAGACAAGGAAGCCGTCTGCCGCACGCTGCTGCCACCGCCGCCGCCTCCATCTCCGCCGCCACCTTGACAGTCAACACCAGCCCCAGCATCAGCATCAAGTCGGAACCCGTCTCACCTAGCCGCGAGCGCAACAGTGGCACCCCGCTCTCCTCCTCTTCCTTCCCCCACCAGGCCCGCCACGAGCCCAGCGGACGCTCGCCCGTGGACAGTCTCAGCAGCAACGCCAGCTCCTACGAGGGCCCCCCCGAGCGGGAGGACCCCTCCCGGCCCGACTTTGGCTCCTCCCTCGGGCTCCTGAGACCCAGCGCCGAGGCCGAGGGGGAGAACCCCTCCATCAAACGCATGCGCTTGGACGCCTGGGCCACGTAACTGCCCCCCACGTGGCCCCCTCATTCCTGCAGGGGGCTCTCGGCTCCCCTCCGTAGTTGTGTTGGGGGGAGTGGAAAAGGAGGGAGGGGGGAGGGGAGGCATGGGGAAGGGGAGGGGCTTATTATCAACTGCCTGAAAAATAGCTTTAGGATTTTGTAGGCATCTGTTTTAGGACGAAAAGGCCCCGAGGAACTTCCAAGAATCGGCCTCCCTGAGTGGCAGCCACCTCTTGGCCTAGGGTCTGCGGCGATCGCTGGTTCTGCAAGAGGGTCAGGGTGGGGATGGGGCGGAGGTCTCCCTTTGGCCCTTTCCAGTCCTGATTGAAAGAGGAGAGTGCCTTTGGGTGTCCAGGTGGCTAAGGGAGGAGACGGCAGGTTTGCGGCCCAGCATGAGATGGAGCCAGGGTTTCCTCCCAAGCAGCTGCTTTAAGCCAGGAGAGAAAGGGTTAAACCTGCCAGGGAGGCAGTTGGAATGGGGTTATCAGGGGAGTGAAAGCTGGAGAAATGCAATAGCTTTTGAGGGTGAGGGAACTCTCCTCCACTCTTTCCAAACTTTTGATAATCTGGGGCACAGGGTTTTTTCCTTGGATAAAATATGGAGGCACCCCTTGTTCGCAGCTCCAGAACTCACAGAGACTTTCCCAGCAGGGGCTTCTCCTGCCCTTGTCAGCTGTGCGCAGGGAGCTCCCTTCCGTGGGAGAGGCAGGGCTGGGCCCATGTTGCACAGCGGTGGCGGCGGCGGCACAAGAGAGCCCGTCGTGACTCTGCCTGGAGACAGCCGGGCAGCTGCAAGAGACATTTGCTGGAGGAGAGCTGGCGGGGGTGACTGGCCAGGGGGCCCCCACATTTGCTGGAGGGATGAAAACTGCAGGACTTGCTTGGGGAGGGGGAGCCATTGGGACCCCTTTTCACACACTGCATGGTTCACACTAGCTGTCAGAGCGTTTCCTGCCCTTTTCAATCCCCGGCTTGTCCCCTTCTTAGTCCAGTGAAAGCTTCGCTTGTTTGGCTGTTAGCTAATGGATCAAATTGGTCCCCTTCAACCCAGCATGAAAAGGAGGAGCAGCCGTGTTGGAGAAGAAAGAGGGCGGTGGAGAGCAGCCGAGGAATCTCAGCCAGCGGGGAACAAGAACCTGGGGCTCCCAGAGGCAGACAAGAGAAGAATTTTGCCTCAGTATTTCTATGGGAAAAAATCCTAAAAAAAAACATGCTGCCTTTCATTCAAGGGCATCCTTTTCCTCAGATACAAGTTTCTCAGCTCACAACCTGATTTTCTCAGCTCAGACTTTAAGTGGAAACCATGCAATGTGTGGAGGGCTCCTGGCCCCTTCCCTGCTCCCAGCACCAGTGGTTGAGCCTCCCTCTGCCAAGCTGGCTCCCTCCATGCTCACCTGTGCTGCCAACGCTTCCCCACTCCTGTTTGGGGCAAAGGGCCTGGCCCAGTTAAGGGGGGCCGGCAAAGCTGTGGGAGGGGGGTTTCCTTCTGCCCCCCCCCTTATGTTTGCAAACCCTGTGTCCCCCTGCTGGGATTTAAGGCGGAAAAAGGGGATTGCCATTCGTTTGCTCAGGAATCTTGCATTCGTTGTTGTCGAAGGGCTGTTGGGGAAGCTCCTGAGGGGGAATTGCCACCCCCTAAAGGACAGGGTTTAGTTCCAAGTGGAAGCATCCAACCTTGGTTTGTAGATCTTGGTTTGTACATCATTGCTTTTGGTTCATCTCGGTTTGCCTTCATTTGTGGCCAGAGTGTTTGAGCCCTGGAGGCTTGTTCGGATTCCGATGGGGTTGGTTGGCAGGAGGGGAGCAGAGCCGGAGCCCCCGAGCCCTGTGGAGCTGCAGTAACCTTGGGGGGGGGGGCGTTAGCTTGGCTTTCATGTTTGTTTCTCCCATCCGTCCTTTCACCCACCTCCCCCATTTCCAATCTAGGTGTTGGATTATTTCCCTTTTGCCTGGAGCTCCCCGGCAGGAGGAGGGCAGAGCCGTTCCGTCTGCTGAAGGCCAGGCCTGGCCTCAGAGCCCTGGGCACCAACAGGAGCTCAGATGTCCAAAGTGGGTGGGGCAGGAGAAGACCTCCCTTGGCTTTGTTGAGCTGAAGCTAATGAATGTGATGAGCTCCATTCTGTCTGTCGCACAAAGAGGGACACGCTTCCCTGAGGAGGGCTGCGCCGGAGGCATATGGCTTTTGCGCAGGGCTTCTGGGGGGGCGGTGAGCCTCATTGCACTATTCTTGGGTGCAGAAAACGGGTTTGACCTCTTGGCTAACTGCCTGGAGCCTCTGGCCACCAGCAGGAGCCAGGGGTGGGGGGGGGGGCAGCACGTCCAAAAAAGGGGCTGGAGAAGGTCCTGCCTGGCTCAGCCACTGGGCTGGTGGTTGAGGGCATTGGAAGAAGCCCAGAATTGTTCCTTCGCTTCTGTCCTTCTGAGACCCTCTCCACCCATTCTTTCACTGGGGGGTCTTGCAGCCTCTCCCTTTCTCTCTTCCTCTCTCCTCCTCCACCTCATTTTTTGAAAGACAAGCAAAAGAATGACAATCTACAAAATCAACCCCCTTGTTTGTATTTCTATAAATATATTTCTTGAGAGCTTTTAATTTTATTTCTCGTGTTCATCTGTACTGTTGACAGTTACATTGTGTATAATTTTTTAATTTGAAAAAATGGCATTTGTATAGGGTTAGTTTTAAAAAGTTATCTATATATAAATATAAATATATATTATATATTTTCCATTTTTAAAAAGGGGTGTTGCAACGAAACACAAAATTGCACGATTTAAAATGACTTTAGTTGAAAATGCTGCAGTTTTTAGAGATGTGGGGGAAATGGAGCTTATTTATTCTCAAAGGCTACAAAAAGTGTACAATGCATGAGAGAAAACATTTACAAAAAAAACACAAAAAAAGACAAAAAAGTGTAACCTGAACAAAGTGTAGCGTTAAAAAAATTTAAACTACAAAAACAGCTAATATATTGTGTTTGGCTTTTGGTTTTTAAATGTTTCCTTTTTTTCTTTGAGAATGAAATACAATAGTGTATATTTTCATATAAGAAGTATGCACTGATATGTTTAGAAAATGATATATTACTTTCTAAAAGCCTGGTTACTTAACCAAAGTCTGTTTCTGCTCTTTTCCTTGACTGAAGTCGGGGTGACCAGATGGTCCTGGGGGGGGGGCGTCCGTCCGGAGAGCGAGGGCTGGGTTGGGGGCGGCCCCTTCCTCCTGCTTTGCCCGGGGGTCATCTCGGAAGGGAGAAGCGCCTTTTCCGAAGCGTTTCGCCGTTGAGCAGGAAGGGCCCGCAGGGAGCCAGGCCCCGGACTCTGTAGCGGCTTTTCCCCTCTCCTCCTCCGAGGCCGAGCCTTCTTCAAGCGACGTCCTCTCTCCCTCCCTCCCTCTCTCCCTCGCTCTCCCTCCCGCCTTCCCTCCGCCCGACCGAGGCCGGTCCGCGCCCCCCCTCCGGCGGCCGGCCCGACCGAAGACCGCCAGCCCTCGCTCCGGCCCCGCTGCGGGTTCTCGGGGCTCCCAGAAGCGGCCCGGGAAGGGGCCCCAGGAGGGCCGCCCAGCAGCGCTTCGGGCCTTGCAGACGCCGCTCGAGGGGCCGCTCTCGGCGCGGCTCCGTCCAAAGGAGGCGCCCGGACTCCGCAGCGTCGCTCTTCTGCGCTGTCCGGAGCCTCCGCGTCCAGTTCGGCCTCTCTGGCCTCCTCTCCCTTGGTGGGCGGGACAGCCTGGGGCTGGTCTGGCGGGGACGTCGGCCGCCTCGGGGCACCTCGTGGGGCTGTTCTTGGGGCGACGATTGGCCTTAAAGCGGCTCCTGGCCAAGGGCGCGGCCGCCGCCTCTTCGCTCACGGCCCGCCTTGACCTGCGAGCCACCCGGAGGACGAGCCGGTTACTGCCTGCCTGCCCGCCCGCCTCTGCCACCCACCCAGCCTGGCCCAACGGAGGAAGCCCGGCTTCCCTCTCCCGCAGCCGTGCGCTGGGGGCTGGGAGGAATTCCCTCCGCCTGCCGGGCCAGGGGAGGCGAGGGTGCTGCCGGGCGCGGGGAGCGGGAGAAGCGTGGACCAGCAGCCTTCGCCCTCCTGCGGCGGCCCCGACTCTGAAGCGCTCCGAACACGGCGGCCGGTGGCTCGGATGGGCTAGAGAAGAGGGCCCGCCGACCACCTGGCTTGCGTCCAGGGGTGCAGTCAGCCCCTTCCTCGGCCTGCGGGGGTGGGAGAGGAGGGAGAATGAGCCGGCAGGTAGAGAGAGAGACGTTTCTTTTGACTGGAGCAAAACCTGTGCCTGCCCTTTTCGCAAGGGTGTCCAGGGCAAGGACACTTTCACGCACATTATCTGGTGTGGGGTTTTTTGTGTGGGGGGGGGAGGCCAAATGGTTCTTCCAGCCTCAGCAGAGCTGGGTGTGGCTGCTCGGGTGCCTTTCCAGCATGGCTGCTCTCCCTGGCTCCTGGACAGGAGCTCAGCTAATTTCTGAGGGTGGCTTTCAAGTCTGAATTGCTTCTCGGTACAATTTGCTGGAGGTTGCCTTACAAGCTGGGTAGATTGGCTGAAGAATGGCAACGGGTGGAGCCCAGAAGCTGAGATGGGTGGCTGAGAAGATGTCCTTTCGGTTGGCACCGGCTTTTCTGACTGGCAGGACAAGGAGTGGTGTGAGCTGTGCAGCTGCCTCAAGGGCTGAGACTAGGGGGGGGAGGAGAGCCAGAGGTCAACATCTTTGACCTCTAGGACTAGATCACTAAGGCCAGACAGGAGCTAGCAGAGGGGCTGGAGAGGTGGACAGGAGCCAGCCTTGAGATGTTGAGGGTGGGACATATTTCTAGAAGGTAAGGAGTAGTTTGGTCTTAAAAAGTGGTGCCCTGGCCCCCTTTTTGCCCCACACCAACTATCATGGTTTCTACATTAACCTGCCATTCAAGGTCACTCACTTGATTTCCGTCTCCCATCCCGAACAGTCACAGAGCCATGCAAAAGTGGAGTGACTGGGTTCCCACGGTATGCAAAGGCAGATTCAAAGATGGACAGACAATGGGCCTTTTGACGGGTCAGCTCCATGCCACCACGCAAGGCCTGTTTGAGCCTCCCCCAGACCC